TATATATGTATATATATATATATATATATATATATATATATCAGACGCATACACATACACGCTCACTCAATGCCTGCGTTAGTGGGTTGTGTAGCCTTCCCCCACAGGTAATTGTGTGTTTTTGTGTGAGAGTTGGTTTCCCCTTTTCTTTTTTCTCTCTTTTTGCTTTGTCCTTTACCTTCGTGGAAGTGAGAATAAAAAAAAAGAGGAGAGTACGTACGCATACAATGCATACATATGTACGTTTCCCGTGGAGACACGATGCTGCAGGGGTGATGATGAAACATTTTTGTTTTTTTAACTTCTTTTTTTACTATTATTATTTTTCTGTTTCACTTAACCGTGTCACTGAGGCGACTCAGTGCAAAAGGAGTCAGCACGTCTGTTTTTGGTTTAGCGCACGCCTCCCCGGGAAAGTGACAGGACAGTGGCGGCAGTGCCACAGCTATGGAGGGTAATGGCGGTGCTAGGGCTGGAGATGGAGGTGCAAGCGTTGACGCTGTGATGCCATGGAGAAGTCTGTGTGACGACATTCTCGCCGCATACAAGGCAAAGCAGGACATTGTTGTACTGCAACGCTTTGAGGAGCTTCAGGCGATGCCTGAACTTGACCTCCTTCTCGAGGTGTCTCGCCGATGCGAAACAACAACAGGAGCGCCCATCAAGACGTCAATGAATGGGGACATACACGACAACACAGCCGCCACTGCGGTGGCTGTTAACGCGGATGCGTTAGAAAAGGTGGAGTTCTGCTGGGGACGCGCGCTGCTTGCAGCGAAACGACTTGCGGGAGATGATGATGAGCATATTGTTACAATTGTGGAGGCCTTTGAGCAGCGGTTTGAGCGCCCATCTGAGTACCTGCGTGTCCTTGCCATCACTGCGGACAGTGCACTGGAGGTCTTGCAGCTGCACCAGCTAGTGGAGGGGAGCATTTCTGCCAGTGCCATCACGGCCGCACTGCACATGTTCCCTTCTCTTACTGCGGATAGAACACGTGAGCTGCTGGAGTTTCTGCGCATCAATGATGTCTCCCTGACGAACGAAGTGTCGGAGCAGCTGGAAAAGCATTTTGTAATGCGCATGAAAACAGAAGACGCAGAGGATGTCTTTCAAGAGATGTGTTCTGTCGGCGTTAAGCCCATGTCTACGCGACCATACAACCTTATCTTTATGAAATCCACTCCATTTAGGTATATGAGTCCGGTTGAATATTACCTCGACATGCTTGACCGCGGCATTGCACCTGAGAACTCGACGTTCCGTATCCTCAGTAAGCAGACGCAGAATGATGGATTCACCAACCAGCATTTTAGGTCGCTTGCTTGGGGGAACGCAACGTCAGGTCGGCGTCGCGACGAGGATGAACGTGGTGGCACACAACTTTTCTTTGCCATGACCTTGGAAGATCTGGCAAAATCTAAGCCAGAGGCAACGTTGGAGGAGGCTCTACGCGTGTTTTACCGTATGGATGTGGAAGGCACCCCACTCACTAATGGATCCCCTGTGGTTAGTGCATTATTAACACACTTTTGTCGTCAAGGTCACTTGGAGGATGCTGAACGCGTACTACTAATGTCGCAGGAGCGTGGTTTTCGACCGACCAGCTTGACAGTGCAGCAGTTGCTGAGAGGAAACAACCCCGATCGTTTTAACCATGCAGAAATGGTACTACAACAAGTGGTGGAGGCAGGTGAGGTGATTCAAGTAGAATGTGTTGAACTTCTACGTTACTTTGTCGCAGAGAAGATACGTAGCAAAGCTGTGCGTGTATTACGTGCCTTTGTTATTCAAGGGTATCAGCATCCGAGTGAATCAATTCCCTTTGCCATAGCATCTATGGCAATGAAGTTAGGTCCTTTTGACTGGGCTTTGGGTGTGCTGGCTGTTCTGCTTGCCACCACTGACAAGCCTGTTGGAAGGGGTGTTCAGTCACGTATTCGTTACACTGCTCACGATATTCGTAGTCGAGAGCTTCTTGCAGTGCTAGAGAAATGTGACTGGAAACGTGAACGTCTTCTTTCCGCAGCTGAACTTCAAGAACCCGAAAGTAACAACGGTAACAGTGGAGCTAGTGATGGTGGTGGGGCTGCCTGGGTGAATCCCAGGAACCATCATAGACCAGATCGGGGTCTGTCTTGGTTGGGGGCGATGCACATTGCGCTGAAGGAGATGTGTGTGGGGTCCGAGGTCCTGGAGGCCTACAAGAAAACCCTTCTACAGGCCATTGAGAAGGCGAAGGAAAACTGCGGCAGTACTGTGACCGGTTGATGCAGATTGAGAAGTGTCTAATTTGCAAAGCCTCTTGTGTACGCCGTGTGTGTGTGGGGAAGGGGGGAGGGGGTAGCGATTTATCTAAGGCGTGCTGTGTTAGGCGGTGCCGGAGATAAAATGTGTCGAGCGCACTGAGTGTCTGCCAGGTGGCACTTACTGCAAGGATACACGTAAAGATGTGTGTGAGCATTAAACGAGGAGGGAAGAGAAAGAAAGGTGTGAGAAATTACCAAGGGAGGAGGGGCAGTCTGAAGAAACAGCAAACAAACAAAAGACTAGAAATGAGGAAAATGGTTGTGCGTTGGGTGGGCAGGGGGAGGGGAAGGGGAAGGGTGTTAAGCCGAGCAAAGCCGCGATAGATGAAGTTATTACGCTTTGTTTCCTTTGCGTTAGAGAAGAAAATGAGGGAGTCGCCGTGCGGCAATATGGATGTCACGTTTTTGGGAAACTACACGCAGACGCAATGGAAAAAAAAAAAGGCACGCAAAGTATTTTTTTAAAAAAAGGGAGACACAACGCCGCCAGCACCATCGCGTACTTCATTCTCCTGGATGTGCTCGTGGAACGGCCGCTGACGCGCGTGGGCGTGGTGGAGACGGGATGGCATGGGCTACAGAGCGAGGACGATATATAAGGAGAGGCAGAGGGAGGGCAGGAGCGGCAGGAATGAGAAGCAATCAAAGAAAAAGAAAAAGAACAGCAACGACAAGTGGCCGTTCGAGGCTCTGTTGCTTTGCATTTCAGCAACGTGCCTCCCTTCCGTTGGGGTTGTTACTTCCTGCAGCTCTCGCTCTGTCCCTTATTTACTGTATGCCCGTGTGTTGGTGGAAGGAAAATAAAAATTTAAAAGGAGTGGTGCCGCATCCGTCTCTCTCTCCGCGTAGCCCGTTATATATATATATATATATATATTTGTTGTTGCATGTGTTTCGTTATTAGTATTTTTAATTATTATTTTGTTTTTCTTTCCACGTCATTGTTGGCCCTTCCTCTTGTGCTGCGTCAGTGCTCTCTTGTGAGGAGGGAATAGCCGTGGGGACGACGGGAGGAGGAGTAAGGAGGAAAAACTTATCAAGAAAGCGAAAGGGCAGATGGCATCCCCAATAGAAATCTACCGCAAGGCATGCACTGCTCTGGAGGTGCCCCCAAATAGCGGGGTGCTACGCATTATGCCTGAGAGCACGGCGCACTTAAGTAGCTTAAGCGTCATGCAGTTCGGACGCAACTTTCTTGGGGATCGCGGCATTGTGCCGCTGATTTCTGTTCTCGCGCACGCCTCCTCCCTTCACACCCTCAATCTGCGAGACAACGGAATCGGGAACGACGGTGTGAGGGCTCTATGCCGTGGACTGCGCCGCCTGCCAGCACTGAAGGTGCTAGAGTTGAGTGGAAACCCCTTCACATTTCTGGCAGCGCGGCAACTCGTACACCTTTGCGAGGATAGCGCCGCACTCACTGTGGTGGGGATGGAAGCCACGCTCATGACGGAGCCACTCAAGGCGAGCATACTTCGTCGCATTCACGAGGCTGTACAACGTCGGGAGAAGCGAAAGTGGGCTGCAGAAGAATCTCTTGTAGGTGAACATGGTGGCATCAAAGGTGCGGCTGCGGGCGAGGCAGCACGAGAACCAGTAGTAGCGGCAGAAGTTATGTTACGGTCTGCGACTCCTCTGGTGGAGGATACGCCTGCGCCGCATAATTCGTCTCCGCATGTTGAGGGTTCTCTCAATTCTGTACACTCACTCGTCCTGCAAAGTCCCGAGAGTGCTGCAAGGAGCAGTAAGGTCAAACGCGAGGACCCGAATGAGAATGAGAATGAGAATGAGAATGAGAATGAGGGGAGCCAAACCGGAACCAAGCCGATTGCATTGGGACCCCCACTGTTGTCCCTGCTGTCAACAAGCGGTGTCAATGAACAGCCATCCGCGTGCTTTGATGGCGACAAAAAGGCGGGGGAAGAAATCCCTGCCGCTGCGGACGACAATGGTGTGGAGTGGGTGGCTGACAAAACAAACGGAGATGCGCTTCCTGAGGAGGCGGATACGCTGAAAATGACGCCACTGGAGGTATTGCTGAGCGAGGAGGAAGAAGCCATCCGGTGGCAGGCATCAAAAGTTGATGTTTCTTCAACAGCAGTCGCTTCCATCCACACACCTGTTCATCTCCTTCGAACAGTGTCAAAGTCAGCCGGGAATGTTTCTGCCACTGCCTACGGATCGTCCTTCTCGCAAGAGGTACATGTAGCGGAGGCGGAAGGAAAGTTGATGGAATTTGCATCGACAACGGCAAAGGAAGATGAGTTTCTCGACCTTCTCTTTGGGAGTGAGGGAGAGTGAATTGCGGCGGTTTCGCTGAAATGAAATGTATAGAGGTGTATGAGTATGCCCACTATTATTTTTTTTCCGCCCTCTTTTTTGTTTTTGTTTTTTTTTGTTTGCCGTCTATGTGCACGGCGGCTCTGCTTATTTACAGCACCGCAAAAAAAATTTTTTTTTTTTTCATCTGATTTCAAAACAAGTGAGAAGTCTAGGACAGCAAAACATATTTAAACAACATTGAGCTCAAGGACAGTCCAGATGGGGACGTTTTTGGATAACAAGCATGAGTACCTCAAGGAACACAACATTCCGCAGCTCATGGACAACATTGTGCGGAACCTCTTGCAAGATCTTCCGGAAAACCCAACTAAGTACATCCACGACCTCCTGAAGGGTCCAATTCCACCGCAGATCATTATTGCAGGCCCTCCTGGAAGTGGCAAAGGAACACAATGTCATGCCATTGTGGAACGTTTTGGAGTTGTGCATATCTCTTCTGGAGATATACTGCGTGCAGAGGTGGCGGCAGGCACTGATGAAGGAAAGATGGCAGAATCCTTCATTAACAGTGGTCAGCTGGTTCCCAACAAACTCATTACAGGTATGGTTTGCAACAGGCTAGAGAAGGAAGATGTGAAAGAGCGTGGGTGGTTGCTTGACGGGTTTCCCCGCTGCAATGTTCAGGCAGAAGCGCTGGAGGCTGTAGGCATTGTACCGCACGTCGTTGTTTTGTTGGAGGTGCCTGATGCAACCGTCATTGAGCGCATAGAGAACCGCCGCACAGATCCGGTCACGGGTGATGTTTACCACCTGATGTACAACCCTCCTCCGCCCGAGGACGTCGCCCTGTGCGACCGCCTCATTCAGCGCGAAGACGATCACCGCGAGACCGTTACGGCTCGTCTGAAGGTTTACCACAAGAACATCAGTGGCCTCAAGGCGCACTATGGAACTCTCGTTGAAACTGTAAATGGGGATGAAAGCATCGAGCACGTTACGGAATGTGTTCTCACAGCTGTGGAAAAGCGTCGTCTCAAGTAGCTTGGGACATTTTTTGCTGTTTACCTTTTTCTTTTTTTGTTGTTTAGCTTTTTTTTTGTTTTGGTTCTTCTTGTTGTGTTTTTTTGTTTTTGTTTTGATTGTTCAAGTTTTTTTTTTTTTATTATTGCTGTTGTTTTTTTTCTTCGTCTCATGCTCTCTTTTTTCTTTTTTGTGGTGTTAGGTGAGGGGTTCTCACCTGGACGTAGAAAGAGGCAAAAGATATTGCGTGGGTTGCGCATAGGGCAAAAAATGACGTTTTTGTTTTGTTTTGTTTTTATGTATTCCTCTGCTTCTTTTTGTTTTTTTTGTTTTTTTCCCATTTTTAGCTGTTGGTGTTGTTTCTGTTTTGTTCTTGTTTTTTGTTTTTTTTTTTTTTTTTTGCCTATCGGGCAGCTGGGTCAGCGTGATTCTATTCATGTAACTATTCCGTTATGTAAATGTGTCTCGGTGCAGATATGGGTCCCCTGCAGAAGTGCACGAGACCACGCGATTTATCTTCCACTCATCCGTCCATATATATATATATATATATATATATATATTGGTATACGGACACACATTTTTGGTCAATGCATACGGAACCAAATGCCTGCGTTGATGGTGGAGCGACCTGCGTGAATCCCCATATGTGGACGTTTGTATTCGACCTGTTTCCATGAGAAAACATTCTTCATTTGATATTGCTATTGTTGCCCCTGTTTCGGTTTTTTTTTTTTTTGCTTTCCTTCTCTTCTTCTTCGGTGGTTGAGTCGCCGTTGAAGAGTGTGATAGAGGCGCAGGCACAAAAGCGCGACTGGTTCCAAGAAGGGCCAACACAAGACCACGGATACAGGGAAGAGAAACTTGCAGTTTGTGTATTGGCAAGCCGATCTTGTGGGTGCGTGCCAGTGCCCTCTCCTTGCACTGTGGAGCGATCTGCATACACATCCATCTAACCGCGAGCTACACGTTCCCTCCTGTTGGAGCTGTAGCGAGCGACAGGCAAACGTATTGGCGCCCTGTGTATTTTGTGACCCCTTGTGCAACTCGCGCTCCCTCTCCACCCACAGACGCGGAGAAATAACCGAAGATGAGCTGGCGGCGCAGTCCTGCGCCGCCGTCGAGCCAGCAGCCGTACAACTCGGCCAAAAGCTCCCGCGCGAGCACCCCAAATGGATTTTCCCGCACGCGCTCCGCGCAAGCTTTACGACGGAGGGGAAGAAAGAACCGCGTGTCTCACACGGTTCGCCACACATTTCGAAGTCGTGCGTTGGATGTAACACCCCTTTTCACAGTAGATGTCGCGGTGCGGTGTGTCGAGGTTGTCAACGAACGCATGGCGTGGACTGCCGAGTTTGACGGCTCTATCGCTGTGCGCAGCATTCCAAAGGGAAGTGAACTGCGAATCATTCCAGGGCGAGAAGGCGTCTTTTGCAACTGCCTTTTATTTGTTGTAAAAACAGGAAAGGTATGGACGGCTTTCAGTGATGGTTTTCTCCGCGTCTACGATGTTAACACATTTGTCATGGAGAATGAGTTCGTGCAGCACAACGGGGCCGTGGAATGCATCGCTGAGATGGAGGGCCGTGTTTATACGGGTGGGCGAGACTGGAAAATCTACCAATGGGTACCTGAGAGCTATAACTACGAGCGACAGTTCTCTGGCCACACCAACGCCGTCAGGTGTCTTTGTCCATACACTGGAAGCACAGGAGCTGTGCTGTTTACAGGAGGTGATGATGGCATGGTAAAGGCCTGGGATCCGTACCTCCCAGTGAAGCAATCCAATGAAAATAATCCTTGCGTGCACACATTTGTGGGACATACACGCGGGGTCTGGGCTTTGGAGCTCGTGAGTCCAAACAATCAGCTGTGGTCGGGTGGCGAAGATACCACCATACGCGTTTGGGATCTTCAATCGTTAAAGTGTGTCACTGTGTTGGAACACCACCGCTCCCCTATTGCTTGCTTGACACTCGTGGAGCATCGTGTCTGGAGTGGTGACAAGCATGGTCACATTCTTTTGTGGGATCTAAAAACCCTCTCACCCACGCAGGAGATCTCGCAGCAAATGCGGGTGGAGCATAGATCGGTGCTTGTTATACGAAAGATGGTTTCGACAATATCTTGGAAGGTGTGGACCACAGGCTCTGCCGGTCACATTCACTGCTGGAATGCTGACTCCATGCCTCTGCTGTTTGACCACGACTCTACCGGAGAGATGTTACCGCACACGGATGAAGAGAATGTACGGGCGCTTGAGCGAGACAACAAGTCACTTCTGGGTGAGCTTGCAAAGCTGACAAGGCAGCTGGAGTCGGAATACGGACGTTCCAGGCTTGAGGTCTTTAACCACGTGCAGGATAAGCAACTCCTCATGGACACCAATGACAGTTTGCAGAAGAAACTCCGCAAACGGCGGCACTCCTGGAGTGATGGCAGCAGCGGGGCCGTCGAAAAAAGAGACCGGTCGTCGCGTCTAACCTCAGGCTCTCCCCCGCCACGATGTGTTAAGTCACCAACGCCAGCAAGTGCTTTGTCACTCGTCGCGGGACAGACAGGGGAGGGCGTGAGAGGTGGCATGCGTTCCCCGCCTTTTTTTACGCGGTCTGTGGACTGTGAGGATGCGGTGTCTATCACTACAGCACATAAACGATTCTTTCCCGGCAACGCCTGGGGCGATATCCTACCACGCAACGAAACGGAACTCCGCGTGGCATTTACACGTGAGGCGGCTCAAGCACTGAGCCTCCCTGAAGACAACTTCCAACAAATATCGATGAAGCCCAAGCAGCATGGACTTCTTACCACAGTAGCCGTTCGGCATTGTTTGTCAAGGCACTCAGAGGACGTTCAACGCCACCTCGACGCACATCCTTTTCTCGACATCCTCAACCACTACAGAATAGCCCTGGAGGGCAGCAACAAAGCACTCAAAGATGCCCTCACCCACGACCAAGACGAAACCAAATCAACAAGAAGATCCAAAAGCGATAATACCAACAGAAGAACATTCAGCCGTTCTGTCGACAGGGAGAAAAGCGCTCAACAAGCTAATCTAAACGATGAACTTGAAAAAGTAAAACAAACCAACATGCGGCTTCACACAGAAATTAAGCAACTAAGTGCACAATTGGCAACAACAAACCCTCCAAGCCACATCAATTTGAAGGAGGAGTACGACGCGCTGAAGAGCTTTGTGGATGGCTCTCTTAAGCCGCAGATATCGCGGTTGAAGCGGATGAACGGGGAGAAGGATCTTGACCTGCGGGCAAACGAGGAGCGTATCAAGCTGCTGCTGCGGGACCAGGAGCAGCTGCAGAAAAAGTTAGCAGGGATGAGCCTCTGAGCCGCATCAATTTGAAGGAGGAGTACGACGCGCTGAAGAGCTTTGTGGA